CCCCTCCCCCCGCACGTTAACCATCACCCTGTACAAAATAGAATCCATTCAAGGGTAAAACTTTTGAAAGACATCCAGTTTAATGTTTGAATGAAAAAAAAAAAAAAAAAAAAAAAAAAAAAAAAAAACCACCCAACAAACAAGAGAGCCGCCGTCGCTGCGATAAATCGAACGGGGGCCGTCGACGACAGGGAGGGAGGGAGGGGAAGGGAAGTGAGAGTTGGGCAACGGGCATCCCTTTAAATCACGAGACGGAAAAAGCTCGGCATGATACTCCCCTTCGAAAAAGCCACCCCTGGTGGTGGTACTCTGCTATATACATGTATATACCAAAGGCATCGTTCACCCGAGCCCAGCAATATTAGATATCCGTGTATACAACACACCCGACACAGACATGTATATATGAGAGGTGTATATGTATATACGTAGTACAGCGCGAGTCAGCCAACATGAGCTCGAAGCCGTGCCAGCAGCGGCTGCAGAGAGAAATAAGAGAATAATATCGGTGTGGCACTTGGGCATGGGTATTATAACTGGTGGCAAACGAAAGAGAGTCCCATTTCGTAAGGCTGGCCGCGGAGGTGGCGACTGCAAACGGTATATACGTATAGATAATTAGGAGTGTGTACAGATATATCAGAGAGTACACGGAGTATTGCTATTACAACTCTTTCTCTCTCTACACGGCAGTAGTCTACAGAAACAAGAAACGGATGGAAGCAACAAATCGTGTGGCAACGGTGCTTTTGGAGTTTAAGAGCATACAGGTTTCCACTCGTGGTGTATATGTGTACAGGTGATACTGGTGGCACATGGACCTGTACGTCTGGGGATATACTCCCCCCTAAAAAGCTCATAGAAGCTCATAGCTTTTTACATAAAATTTAACCCTTTTACACCTGGGAGTTAATCATCATCAATGAAAATGGCGTTAATCATCCACCAAATTTGTCTAGGCACGCCCCAATACTCTGGACAATGTATGGTGTATATAATTATATGGCAGACTTGAGAATCTTACACCAAGCACAAGTAGTTAACTTTCATAAAGCGTCCTTGATACTTAACTGTAACTTTTTTCACTTTAGCACTGCGTCATAGATAACTGTAAAAGTCATAGGTCTTTATACATAAGCAAATGATAGAATATACGGAAAAAAAGACCGGTAAAGGGATCAATGTTCGTTATTTGTACAATAATTTGGGCAATCAATTTTAATAGATAACGACGTGTGAAAAAAAATTTTAATCAATAACAATCAATGTACGTAAGGACAATATTATTTGCGAGGAGTATTGGTACAAGTTTTGATGCAATTGAAAAAGAAGGGCAGTCATCCTTGTTTTATTGAAATCTGTGCTGTATTAGTTACTTAAACAAGTAAATTTTCAGTCAGTTACACCGACACAATAAAACATAACTTTTTTTTGTACGTATTTATTTATTACATTCAAGAGATAATTTTTCGAGACTATTAGTTAATAAATTTGCTTGCATGAATTATTTTATAGAAATTTTCTGATTTACTTAAGTATGCTAAAAATGGTTGAGACAAAAACAATTTATTTATGAATTATTTCAAGAATTCTAGAAAATTATCCAAAAATAATAGTTGTTTAGTGACAAGGTATTTTAAGTTTAGACTATAATAATCCTAAAGAATATTCAATAATATAATCAAATATCATTCATTTCAAGACATTTATTTTATTGGATTACCCCATCAGACAAGTGTTAAAAAGTACTGAAAACGTAATTTAGATTTTTATTTTCTAACGAAATAAAACTTAACGCCGATAAAGATTGAAAATTTTGGAATTAAAAAAATTTAAAGCAATCGTCATGCATCTTAAACCGTCGGTTTTTGAAGTCATTTGCTTACCACATACATAAAGAAACATTTCTCTAATATTTTTTAATATTGTACTTAACGTATAACTGTTAGACTTTTCATGCAGCGTTCCGAGCACAAAAAAAATTTGATTTTATCGTTATTCGAACCCTAAGATGCTACAAGTCATGCATTTCTCATAAAAATTGACTAATTGAATTGATGTTTTTTTGCAAAAAAAATTTTGTTACTCTGTTTAAACAACATTATCAATCGATAATCATTATTGTGATTCTTGTACCAAATCACGTACTGAATTGATTCAAATCACCAGAGAAATATATTGTGACCTTTGATTTATCGTTTCAGATAGCTTAGAACAAAATCATGTATTATAAAATTTAGAGAAAATATTTATAATTTTTTTTTTTTTGTGATTTTACTTGAGATGTTATAAAATTATACGAAAAATTAAGATTATTATTAGCAGTAAAAAAGTTTTTTTTTTTCGAATAATTTAAATCGGTCAAGTAATTTTTTATTTATCAATGAAATATTTTATGGTGATATATTTTTAATAATAACGATAAAGTAAATCCCAAATTAAAAAATATATTACTGAAATGAACATTTGTTATACTTTATTAAACAAATGTGTAGTAATGAACGTATCATACAGTCAGTTGTATAATTGAAAAGTGAAAAAGAGGATATAAAAATTATTGATCATTTAATAAAATTCAGGGACATCACAATTTGCATACAAGAGTATCATGCACTTAAAATATAAACCGATTTTAGATGCTTACAACCTAGATCCATTGCCATTAACAAGACTGATGTAATAATGTAACATAAGTAATTTAATATTTACTAGTCTCTTGTGACACTGTGATAGGTATTGAATCTTTTCATAGTAAAATGATAAATATCACACTGAAACTCTGTAACGAAGTATGAATAAGAATTTATACTTTAATGCAACCTTGCTGGTACCATTTACAACCTTTATTTATTAACCAACTCATATCATCTTTTTTTATTATTAATATCTTGGAAGTAGAAATAAATGTAAACCCAACAGTCACTCCTTACCCTCTTTAATCTGATCTAGCTTTTTGGAGTTTTATGCACTAATTTGCTATTAATTTAATTTTAGTATAGTACAGTAATAATGTTTTTTTTTTTTTTTTTTTAAACAAAAACAATCTCCAAACATGTTGAGACTGGCAGATTTTTGCAAAACTGAACTATATGAACCTTCTGCAATAGGACCTTAGTAAAATTCATTCATAATGCACATTCGTTGCACAACTATTATCTACATTACGGCAATTCAAATTAAATTAATTACTTAAAATATAAAGTAGAAATATAAGCTTTGGTTCTTGTTACTTGCTCATAAAAACATTTAAGATGGAATCCAAACGATATTATACAAAAATTTACAGATTAGGATTAGAGAAGGTTTGAAATTAATAATGAAGTTATTTTAATCGATTTTCTATTGGTAAAACGGTCAATTGACTGTACCAACATGATTATGTATATGTATATATACACAACAGTTCAGCTCAGCTGGTACGTGCAACGTGCACAAACACGTTGAAGGCATGCACGAATATTATCTCCGTCTCTTTCGCACTTGCGCAAAATTGATCTCATAACTCATCAAGGACCTATATGCGATAATGGTGATTTTGTATGTTCTTGCCACAATAAAATACACTTATGTAAACATTAAAAACGATGTAAGGCATAGATCGCTACCGCAGTTTGGTCCTTTGTCCTTGAAACGACTCTCACTAGGGTAGTCTCAAACGAATGGATTAGACGCAATTTTTCGTAACGTTAGTTCGATTTTGACAACTACTTTGCGGATCGAAGTAATTTGAGACATATTTTGAAACATGAAGCAACAGAGCTTTTGGTGAGATAATCAACCAGAAGGGAATACTTAACAAAATGGGAGGCGAGAGAGAGAGAGAGAGTGGAACAAAGTCCATACGTCAATGTACGCAGTAGGTAGCTCCGGATTTCTCGGGCGTTGTACAGGCGAGAGAAAAATAAAAAATCTTAAATTAAAAGTGACGAATTACGTAAATACAACGTAATGTTCTGACGACCATTGGCACAAACGCACAGGTGGGCTAGAAAGGCCAGGGCAAATGGTAAACGATAGCTCCCCGATTCTCAAAACAAAGGGCCTACGGAGTCGACAGAAATGCCCTCTTCGAGAAAAATTCGGACATATACTTAACCTTACTTTGTATTATACATTACTGTAGGTACTTGCCTGTAAAACGTAGGTGCACTCGTGCACACTGTAGTGGTGATCGATGTGAGCCAATTGGATGGTTTTCTTTTATTTTATTTTAATCGTCTGAAGTGAAAAACTTGTTGTTGCGACTCGTGGACATCACGAATATCTTTTTGATGATTCTAGAAAAGAGGTATGTACATGTACAGGGGCTCTTACGATGCGTGCCTTCCTCCTCACCTCGACCTCGCTCAACTCAAAACTCGAAATATTCTCGAATTAATAAGTAGTTCTCTACTTTTCCTTGCCAGTAGGAGTGGCGCTACCGTCTGGTAACATTGTGATTTCGTCCCCACAAAATAGTACATTTTAGCGTCATCTAGCGGGGCTCATGTGTTTTTTTTTTTTTTCCATTAATTTACAGTTTACACTTTAGTGAATAAGTGAGTTATGAGTTATGAATTATGAAGTGTTTTTTTAATGACTTTTTGTCAGTCACGTTACCAACAAATATTTGGGTAAGAGAAAACAAACATACTTACATTTATCATTATGATATTAACATAATTGCATATATGTTCAAATATTATAACTGTACAACATTTGTTGAGATTAACTTTTAACAAATTACAGAACAACTATATATAGATCACAGTGAGTAATGGGCAGATATTAAGTAGTATTAAATTAATTTAATTTACTAAAAAAAAGTGAAAAATGATGTAATAACGACGAGTTCATTGTGAACGTTTTTTATAGCTATTAATCAATAATGAAAATCGTCTTGTATTAAATGGAGGATTGCATTGTAAATGATTGAATTTTTCAGTCTCACTGGTTTCTTTATGTGATGATAAGCTTTTTTTCTTGCTGTGTTAAAAATAAAGAATAAAAAGAAGTTAATTCGTAACATTTGAATTTTTATTTGATACATGATTATTTGTGATAGAATCGCCTTTTAAATAACCAACTTGTACATAATTTAACAATAATAATATATGTTTATAAAAATACATGATTTATTAAATTAAATTAATACATTAATATTAACTACATTTATTGCAGTAATTTTATTATTTTTAAAATTAAACCTACTTTTGTTTGTAGTATGTCATGATGATTGATTCGATTTTTCTGCAGAAAGTTTATTATAGGTAATTAGAAATCACAGATTTATCTTACAATTTTTTGGACAAAGACTTTTTAGATTTCAATGAAGAATAATAAATAAAAAATGTTTTAAAAAAACTTGATTGACACTTATTCTGTACGTATTAATCTCTGATTAAAGAGAAAATAAATGATCAGTACTATATTATTGACATTAAAATCTCGGTTGAACGAAAGTGAATAAAAATATCAGAATGAAAAAGTCTGTTGTTTTGTACTTGATTTTTGTATAACATATGGAATTTCATTATTTTTAAATACTTACTGTGATTCAACAGTTTTTATCAGAAATTTACACAAACATGTTGAGCATGATAGTGACAGTGCTGTGTCATCTTTATCGAATATTAGAGAAAAATCAGGAACTTGGGTACAATTTCTGGAATGAACATTTACATACATTTCTAGATCACACTTGAATTTCGTTAGACTAATTTCAGTTCTAATTTTCAAACCACACATATGGCACACTATAAAGTCTGGTATTTCTTCGAGGAAGGACTTTTGACACATGGGACAGATGGCTTCATCTTCAAGGGCATCGAACATTCGTTCTTCGCACCTCATCAGTCTTTCGTATTCCTGCATCAACCATTGCTCTGTGAATATCCAGAAAAAATTATGTGCTAAGTAAGATAAATACTTATGGGTATCATAAAATTAACATTATATAAACACCCTTGAGAGCATGCAGAAAATAAAAAATAAAACGTAACGCAAAACCTTGCTCTGCAATGATCTCGTGCTCTTCTTTAAGAGCCTCATCTTGACTTAATGGGCCATTGATTATTGTTATTGCACACGGGAGCTCCGAATTGTCGTTGGCGGCGAGCTTCTTAAATTCCCGACGAACTATTTCCGTTAGCGCTTCTTGCACATCCTCGGCAGGCAGTATACTAGCCCGTCCCTTATTGAACAACTGATTTCTTCGCTCTCGCATTTGTTGCTGACATTTCTAGAAAAAAAAAACAAAAAATTAACAATGGACTTTCGTCAAAACAAATCTTGATACCACTGTCATTTGTATTGAATTTTTAGGTGATTATTATTATTATTTTGAATATCAATTGTGTCGTGCATGAAAATCAAATTCCTAACCTGTCGTAAAATTGCTTGAAACTTTGATAAATCGTGTCCTCTTTTTACGACTCTGTAGTTGTTATTGATGGTAGACATTTGTTTCAACTTATTATTCGGACATCAACTGACTTTTATAGGTGAAAAATTAAATATTATTGCGTTGCTGTAAATACTTCCGCAGCCTATGTACGTAAATGTATACACAACAGAACAGACCGCAAAATTAAAAGGCTATCAACTGTATTTTTCGAAATTAGACCATCGAGATATATCGTTATCATCACGGTTCGATTTAAAGTTTTCATGATATGTCTGGGTCCGTAACTCCGTACCATATAACTATTTTTCTGTACATCGGCCTATGTTGTAACATAGGCCTGTGAAGCAAAAAAAAGTTATATGGTACGGCTCCTGAGTAAACAAATCACACGTAAGTATATACCTTATCGAGTTTTGGCAAATAGATATATCAATAAAAAGTATGCCTTACGCATATTTTTCTGATGTGTGATAAGTGAAAAAAAGATGAAAATTTTATTAAAAATAGACTTAACACATCTTTGGAGTGGAAAAAACGAGGGTTTCACGCAAAATAAAATAAGTCAAATTTTTAATAGTCAGCTTTATTTTCAAAGATTGATAATCCAGTGTTACACATACTTACATGTCTTTCGCACTTGAATGATTAGTTAGTTATTATTTTTAACAAGATTTATCAACACGTGTCGGTAGCTTTTTTTTTCTTTTTCTTTTCTTTTTTTTTAACAAATACATTCAATTTTTCGGTCAACACGTCAACAGTTATTATTATTGTTATTTTTATCATTACTATACCCTCACCCTTTTTTTTATACACCATCATGTGTTTTTACATCGTCAAAGTAGTCGCTAATAAAAATATTTATTTGTTTCTCTCCTTCAAATTGTTCACAAATATATGGACGTCTTCCCTAATTCCTGCAATAATTTGCCTAATAACTGAAAATACTCTTTTTTCATTCGCACATTCGATATTCTTACACTGTAAGGGAGAACTTCCGCACCATAAATATACGTAAATATATATAATTTTTATCTATCTTTTAGATATCTGGGTGTCTGGATTTTTTTTTTGTTATTAGACAACCCACTGATTTTTTGGTATTATATTAATGTAAAAACCAAAAAATAAGTAAAGTTCAGAACGCATTTTGTTGCTTTGCGTATGTATTGTATATTTTAGCATAGTGTGTCTTGTACTTCTTATCTGGATTAAATCGAACAGTGGTTTACTAGCTAAATGGAATAAAAACCATTGGAAACGGATGGATTTTTCTTTTTCTTTTTTTTTTCTTTCTTCTTTTTTTTTTTTTTTACACATTATAACAGTACATCGGCTACGTCGTTTAGATACTACGAAAATTAAAGGTGTGTACAGTTACTCCTATAGTGCAACATTTTTGTCATTTTAAATACATTATTTTTTTCTCTCTTTTTTCGTTTTAATACACCTATTTGAACTTTTTCAATAGTCTGCGCCCTATTCTTTTCGTTACCCTTACGAATCAATCATTTTTCCACTTGTCCTTTTTGCAATACTTAATACCTGTCGTACTTGATTACATTTTTTTTTTATTTTTTTTTTTTTTTTTTTTTTTTTATTTTTTATAAACCGACATGCATTGCAGTCTCTGTTTTTCCTCTTTGTTGTATTAACTTTTCATTTACATCAATCAGTGAGGTAGATTGTATAACTTTTGTACCAACAGTGTCCGAAAATATACATTTATTTTTTATTATAATTTTTTTTTTTTTTTTTACAATCAAACCCAATGACGAGGATGAGCTTTTCGAGTTCAATTCTTTAAGAATGTGAGAAAATCATAAAGTTTTTTTTTTTAATAATTACTCGATTTAATCAATGTAAGTAAAGAAAAGCGCTCATGGGCGTTGTGTCTCAAAGCTTAAAGGTTGCAAAAAAAAAAAAAATAAAATAAAATAAAAATCAAATGACAACTACATTTTGCTTAACAACGAAAAACCATATTGTTGCCAACCCTTAAATTTTCGGAAACAACCATCTTACAAACGAAATAATCACGTTAATGAATCTTAATAATCATAGTATAAATATATGGAGTGTCACTCAAGCGTATGCTTCTAGCAGTCGTAGCAGGTAAATGATTAGCGAAACAACTTATTACCTTAAGAGAGAGATCACCTCAATATTCATCGACGAAGTTACATGAATGTATATCACACACGGGCTTTTATATGCTGCTGCAGCGACATGAATCATTGATTGTTTAATAATCATCTTTATATTGAGCTGTACAAAGCGTCGGTCACATTTTTACGTTTTATCATGCACTGCAGCTTTCCTCCGCAACACCAGCAACAACGAGATGGTTGGATTTTTTTTTTTTTTTTTTTTTTTTTTTTTTTTTTTTTTTTTTT